TCTTTGTTGGTATGTGGTGCTGAGGATCGAACCCGGGCATACCAGGCAAGCGYGCTACCGCTTGAGCCACATCCCCAGCCCCAATCCAATTTTAAATATCACCACTTTTAGGGAGACTTTTCCAGACTTCCCTATTTATTCACCATTCCATAAATCTAAACATCCCTTGCTTCTTTGTGCTATTCCCTGCAGTGAGTTCTGGGAGAACCTATAAAGAGTTCATTGTAATCATTTTGTGTAGCGGTCTCTCTTCTTGCAAAGACTGTACATCATTCTAAGTGGCTATAGTTAGCWAATGGAGACCCTATAAAATATGTTCTCACATTCATGTAAATATTATGACAAACGATATGATTAAATTAAGGATTTTCAAAGCAGGTATTTATCCTGGATTATACAGAGGGCAGTTCCTTGTTTCCTTATCAAAGAGAGGACATATCAAAGGAAGGAGTCCGGGGACATAAGAGAAGGAGAAAAAGATGGCCAAGATGTGGCCACAAGCCAAAGAATACCAACTATAACCTAGAAGACTGAAGGAGTAGATTCTCTTCTAGAGCCTCTGGAAGAAATGTATGGCTACTAACACCTTGATTTTGGACTTCTGTTCTTCAGTATGGTGGGAGGACAAACTTCTGTTATTGTAAACCACCAAATTTGTGGTAATTTGTTGTGACTATCACAGGAAAGTGATATGAGCATATAGTAAATCTTCAATAAGAAACCAATAAATGCACGTGYATTAGTAATAAAAATGCTAATCAAATAAATAAGAAATTGCATTTTTGCCAATGATAGTTGCATCTAAAGCTGGCAAAACTGGTGAAACATTCTAATATCAATGCAATTATAAATTGAGTTAAGTTTCTTTAGAGAAAATATACATAAAAACATTCATTTTTTTTGGGGGGGGGCAACTATCTTAAGGAAATAGTTGAAAACCACACCTCTAAACAAAAGAAATCAAATATTCACTGATTATTATTTACTAATAGGAAAGTAATTCATATTGCAAATAATCTAAAATGTTGACCAAAATAAAGAATGGTTATAATAATTATTCAWTGACTCCACTAAATCTCACAAAGCTAATAAAATTAGTTAATATTATAACTACATTGAAGAAGGAGAAGACATTTGTATGTTAATCAAAGAAATGAGAACTTAGCAGGGTGTAGAGATCTACACCTGTAATGCTAGGGACAGGAGGCGAAGACAGGAGGACAACAAGTTCAAAGCCAGTCTCAGCAACTGAGTGATATCCTCAGCAACTTAGTGAGAAGCTGTCTCAAATTAAAAAATAAAGATGTTGAATATGATCTGGCTATGACACCTGTTACCCCATTGATCTCCACGGYTGATTCAGTTGATCTGATTGACAAGGTGGGTGTCCCCTTCCTCCCTGACCACTCCATGTGCATCCCTCCAGAAGCTGTGCACTCAGTGGAAGAGGATGATCTTCCTCGACAGAGGAGGATCGTTCTTCTGWCAAGGGTATAACAAGTAGCTGCACTCCCCTGCTAGAACCTCCAAACAAGCTCTCAAGGTTCAAATTAAAAAATAAAAAGGAACAGGAACATAGCTCAGTGGTAAAGTATCCCTGTGTTCAATCCTTAGCACCCAAAACAAAACAAATAAATCATAAATTAAAATTGTAGGAAGACTCTAGTTCCCAAAGTATGTRAAGGAATCCCAGAGAATTCAAAGAGGTAAGGTGAAATATTTTAAAATTTCTAGGGAAACAGCAACACTCGGCATCTTTTGAACTTCTAGCTCTAATTAGTTCACAGTTTGCAACATCAGACTATACTATACTCCTTTTGATGAAATCATATTTGTGGAGCTGGGTTTTAGGAGGATACTATGAAAAAAAGCAAGTATTGAAGATCAGTATGGAAAAGAGAGGCAGTGACCAATATGATTTCAAGGTTTGAGAAGACATGCAGTGTCAAACAGGTGCACACAATCTATCAGGAAATAACTGTGGTTATTAAAAAATGAAATAAAAAGATTTTTCTTCAATTTACCTGTATTATTCTTTTCAAATGGGCAAGTTGTTAGCATATAAATCTTGTTAAATTTGGACTTAACTATTTAATAATTGGAATTGTTTGGTAATCTTTTAACTCAGGATCACCATGATAAAAGTACTGAGATACTAAGGGCTTCATGAATGCATCAGTTTTGGAACCTCTGCTGGACAATATAATAGCAATCAATTTGAGGGAAAAAAAAAAGCATATCAAATACAAAGGAATTATGCAACTTTGAGCAGGTGGAGTAAGGACTGTGGCATGTTTCTTCTTGAAGTATGTTTTTAATGATGTTGTTACACTGACTTTTACCAAAAAARTAAGGAAAAACATCGGAGCCTATTACAATTGTTAAAAACCATCTGCTAAATCATTTCTTGGGTCAGAAATTCCAAAATTACAATCACAGGTTTAGCTTTAGTTAGCTTTTTAGTATTAAAATAAAATGGAAATCTTATAAAACTTTCTAACTTAAAATAACAAATAACAGCCTCTTAAAGAATTCTTATCAAAAAGATTCAAATATAAAACCTTTTATATGTATATTACTATAGTGTTTATAAGCACTTTTGACTTGTTATAATTTTGAASCTTACAGTCACCTAGTCAGGTGTTTAATATCATTATCATTCTCTTTATTATTAATGTAAACAACCTTGAAACTTATAGAAATCAAGTGTTTTACTCCAGTTCTTTCAATATTTACTGAGCACCCATATTAGGTGTTATTGGATACAACTCTGAACAAAATTATTAACAATTCTTGACCTCATGGGGATTATATTCTAGTATTAAGGTCAGAAACAAAATTCAARATTTTTGATCCCAAGTGAAATTTTATTTTTAAAAAGTTTTTGTAGTGTTAGGGATTTAACTCAGATCTTGTGCATTTTAGGCAAGAAATCTCCCACTGAAATAAACCCTCAGTTTTTTTTTTCTTTTCAGTTTTATTTTAAACCTCACTATATATATTGAGTTTAACTTTCAAACACCTGTRTTATGTAATATACACTGTAAGTTACTAGAAAATTAAGAATTAAAAAATATGGTCCTTTCAAGTGTAAGGTATTTAAAACAGTGGAAAGGGACATGATATTTATGGTGTAGTGGGCTGCATAGTGAATATCCATGTCTTATCCACTGGAATGTACAAATATGACCTTATTTGGAATAAGGGTCTTTGTGGTTGTAGCTAAGTGAAGGAACTTGAGACAAAATCATCCTGGATAACCTGGGTGAGCCCTAAATGTAGACAAGTGTCCTTATAGGAAACAAAAATTAGAGACACTAAGAGGGCAAGTGACAGCAAAGGCAGGGGAAGGAGTCATGCAGTCACAACTTAAAAGAAAACCTAGAACAACTAGAAGCTGGAAAAGATAAGGAAGGATTCTCCTATGGGGCATTTAGAAGGAGTACAGTCCTGTCAGCATCTTGATTTCAGATTTCTGGCCTCAATAATGTAAGAGAATAAATTTTCTGTTGTTTTCAGTTACCATGTTTATGGTAATTTGTTACAGTAGGCACAGGAATATAATAATATATGATATAAAAATTATTACCTCTGTGATTTTAACTGCTTTCCTCATTTGTTGCTGTTCCCAAATATCTTGATTTTCATCTTCTTGACTGTCTTCACTTGTTTCTTCATTTCTACTTGCTAAAAAACAATAACAAACAACAACAAAAAAGTCACACATAAACACTCAGTAATTTTCCAATTCCAGTTGTAATAGTCAACATTTCTGGGGTGTATTATACACTGACTTAGCACTTTATATGTTTATTCTTCATTATAATTTGGGAAGAAGGTGCCACTGTTGCCTTCATTTTACAAATGAGAAAACTTGCAATAGTAGCGGGCATGGTGTTGTTATATAGTTTGTCTGAGGACCACGATGAAGCTTAAATCCAGCAAACTGACTCCAGAATCTGTACTCATGTCACCCAACTGTTCCATCAAGAAAACTTTTTATTAAAGTACGGAAGATGTTAATATGACATCTAAAAATCTCTGTAGAATCTTCCATATTTACAAACAAAAATTTTATAGAGGTGAAAATGATAGCTTCCTGTGTTTCAAAATTAAGATATTGCATAATTTCTTCAACCCGCCAAAAAGTATGTAGGGTACAGGCTTAGTAAACATTATTACACATACCCTTTAATTATAATATTTTGACACAGATACATCTTTTAGAGGCTATAATGTCATGGACCAAATTGATAGTAATTTGATAGTAAATAAAAGCCAACATTAACACTCTTTATCATGTGAAACACTACATTATGTTTTTATGGAAATTTTATCATAAAATATTATAAGGAAAAATGCCTTAAAATTCATAGAATGATAAATAAATTAAATATATACTTGTTTCTTCAGTCATTCTTTGTCTAAGTGTCTGAGGCTTTGGGGTAAATGGTATTCTCTTCTCATAGTCATCAGGCTCACTCTCAGGATCCTCATCACTATTCCTCTTTGTATTAGGAGTGGTGGAGTTATATTTTACATCCAAAGAAATATAGTCATCTTGGGCCCTGGCCAATTCACGTTTTCTGCGGGCTGCCTGAATAAAAGCTGCATCAGGGATCCTAACTGAAAGGAAAAAAGAAGAGTACAATGAAAACCACAAACACCAACAGAAATACATATTTCTCACATTAAACAAAGAAAAACAGCACTATGTTCTTAAATTTTTCTCTATTTTTATATATGCATTATTTTTAAAAATGGCTCCAATCTATATCAGTAAAAGAAGAAAATTAATTTTCTAGATTAAATGTAATTTAGAGAAATTAACTCAATTTAGAAGTATCAGGAAATACACTCAAACCATTTCATTTTATCTTTTAAGTCTCTTACTCATCAAGTTTTGATAACTTTTTGATGAGAGCTAGTTATTTTCCCTTTTGAAAACTCTGAATGTTAGGGCAGGGCTATGGAAAATGATGAGCATCCAGTTCCTGAGTTCAAGAACTGTAGGAGTTAGAAAGGTTGATTTCAGATCTTACCAAATAAGAAAGAAATGACCTTCTCCCCTGTGGACATCAGTACAAAGAAGAAACACAACACAATTGGTGCAAAGTCAAACCAGACTAGAGTTCTGGGGTGAGTCCCACCTACATTAATGTAAGAAGTTAAAAAGTATAAAGGAAGTATTTTTCAACCTGATTAAACGATAATAACTTTTAATAGAGGCTTATCTTACTTTTTTTGAAACTACATTAATATGAACTCTTCCAATTCAGAACAGGTTTCTTCATGCATGGTGATCTAAGTTATCTTTATATTCTAGAAAAAAATGGCCTTTTTTTTTGTTTGTTTGTTTGTTTTGGTATTAGGGATTAAACCAAGGGCTCTTAAATACTGAGCRATATCCTCAGCCCCTTTTGAGACAAGGATTCTAAGTTTCTTGRGGCCTCGTTAAGTTTCTGAGGCTGGCTGGGAGATGTGGCTCATGCCTGTAATCCCAGCAGTTCCAGAGGCTGAAGCAGGAGGATTGCGAGTTCAAAGCCAACTTACTATCTCTAAATAAAATACAAAATAAGGCTGGGGATGTGGCTCAGTGGTTGAGTGCCTCTGAGTTCAATCCCCTAGTACCCCCCACCCCACCACAAAAAGGTGCTGAGGCTGGTTTTGAACTTTTTATCCTCCTGCCTCAGCCTCCAGAGATGTTGGGATTACAGGTGTGTGCCACCAAAATGGCAATAGAAATTCTCCTCATTCTAAGCACTTCAGAATATTAGAAATGACAAGTCCCTAAGGCTCAAGTAGAATTTTCTAAATCTTTCCCATAAATTTGATCCAAATTTTTTAGAAAGAAAACATATCACTGGCTTAGAGATGTACAAATGCTTTTATGTCTGAAATAACAACAAAAATGATAGATTTAAGTAACTACAGATCAGTCTATAATTACAGATCAGACTGACTGACATTAGTCCCAGAGAAAATAAAAAGTGCTTGAATCAATTATGAAACATACAAGGTGATGACTAGAAATCAATAAATATTCACTGAGAATGAGTGACAGAAAATCAAGTGATTGCATTTTTACAGACTAGTATTTGTTTATAGACTGCTATGGGGGAATGATAAAGGTTAGATGTTTCTATATCCTCACGAAGGATTTAACAGGTTGATTCCTTCCTTGTAGACAATGTTATATGAGATAAACCAAATAGTTCACTGAATTCTTTACTAGATGAATAATTACTAAAAAAAGAAAAATGTTGATTATAAAGTCAATAGGACCTGCTTGAGAACTCTGTACTTTTTGTTTGATTTAATGCTTTTATTGTAATGTGAGTGAAGACAAGATGACATCTCTTTAAAGCTGAGAAGTACAAGCTAATATAATCTAAGGTAGAATTAAGATTCAAYGCAGGTTACTTGAGAAATTGCCAACCCTGGCTACACATGAGAATCATCTGGGAAGCTTGATAAACTACTGGTGCTCAGACCCCCATCCCAGAGACTCAGATTCAGTTGATCTGAGATAGGGCTCAGCTGTAGTTTGTTTTTATAGCCTTCTTGGGAAATTTAATATGTAGCCAGAAGATAATACATTAAGGTTTGAATATTGAAGTGTTTGAATATGGAAACAGAAGAACGTGGGTTGCAAGCAATTCACCTACAAATAACTTGGTAGGGTTTAAATAATAAATTACAAGTAATGAAACTCACTGGTAAGATACAAGTACTACATAGAGCCAATTCTCAAGCTACAATAAAGAAGTAGAAGTTCAAGGAAGAGAAAAATATTCTATCTGTCCTGTTTCTCTATACCCTACATCTATCTCAATGGGTTCCACAAAGCGGATGCTGGGCAGACACAGGATGAATGCATAAAGTTAACATCATGTTGTTAAAGAAAACTCTTTAAATAATTATCACATACACCATTCCACCTGACACACAATTATCTAAGATGCAGAGGTCAACTAGCATCTCCCTTGGGTAAGCAAGCAGGGAATATTTCAAGGCAGATATTCCATTATTGGTTCACTCTCATAGTCTACCAGAACATGAAACAAATGCACTCCTGCCACACAAGTCCTTCAAATCATCACATTCCTCCATCTTCTCTTCTCCAAACAGTACATGCCTTCCACTTCCAAGTGCTCCTCACAAGGTCAGTTTTCAACTTCTCATCAGTATTTCTCAATGGGGCATTGGGGAGAAGGACAATTATTCACTGTGCTGAACTGTCCTACTCTCCATAGGATATTTATCATCTCGTGCTTCTGGGGCACTACATGATAACAATACCTCAATTACTATGACCATTAAAACCTATTCCACATATTTCTAAAACTGACTTCTCCTTAGGTAGTGAGTGTTCCAATGCTTTATATCCACTACGTTATACTTTTAAAAAATTTTCTTTAGTTGTAGATGGACACAATATCTTTATTTATTTATTTATTTTTATGTGGTGCTGAGGATYGAACCCAGTCCTCACACATGCTAGGCAAGTGCTCCACCATTGAGCTATAACCCCAGCCCAGTCCATTACACTTTTAATCCACCATTTCTATAGCAGCACAATTCACTATAACAAACACCAGTCACAAATGACCATAAATTTAACTAAATTAAATTTTGCACTAGCCACATTTCAAGAGCTCGACAGCCACATGTAACTAATGGCTACTGTACTGAATAATGAGGGTATAGAATTTTTCCATCATAACAGAAAATTCTGTTGCAAGTGCTGTATCTAGAACCTATATAGAGTTTTAATTGTTTACCAGGCGTCAATTCTTAATTTGGCTTTCTTACTTAATACTTCTCTATCTTGTAGATTTGGATAAGAAAAGGTTGCAAGGCTACAGGGATACTAATTGATAGAGTTAATAAAGAAGCACTTCTCATTTTAAGATTTATTATTATATATGTTTGTATATAAATATTTATTGAATAAAGTTTTAACTAAAATTACAAAAAATTACAAACCTATTGATGAAGATTCTTTTTCTTCCAGAGAGCTAAAGCTGTCAGAAGATGAACTGTGATCATCATTACTTCCTGAGGAATGATGTGCTCCATCTTCTTCATCTGTTGAAAGATCAGCTGTTCTGGATTCTAACAGGACATTTTTTTAATACACACACACAAAAATAAAAATATGGGAATCAACAATTAATACAGCATTTTAATCCTATTCCATTTATTTAAAGCAGACATACAAATCTTTCTCTACCTTCCAGTCTTTCTGAAACAACTGAATGATCTAACAAATATACAAAGACTTACCCTACTTGCATTATCTATACATTTAATATTTCTAAAAGGACACAATGAGAAGAGGGACAGGAACATTGAAGGAAAATAAAAGGACAAAAATTAAAGTAATATTTTGAACAGAAAAACAGTGGTAGTAAATAGAAAAAAAATATCATTTACTATGTGCTAGACACATTGAAACCTGTTTCACATAATTTAATATTCATAATTCTATAAGGTAAATRCTATTATCGGTGAGAGTACTAAGGAATGGAGAAAAGGCAACTCTTATCCTCAATTCTCCCTACAAGTTTAACCATATTTTAGGGTACAAATTAAAAAAAGGTCATCAAAACTTTAGATAAGGAGGTCATAACAATGACTAAGATCATGAAACTGAAAGACATTATGTTAAGTGAAATAAGCCAAACACAAAAAAGACAAATGTGGCAATACCTCACTTATATGTGGAATCTAAACGTTGACTGGAAATCATAGAAGAGTAGAACATAGTAGATATATAATTTTATCTTATTAATTTTGAGGTACTAGGGTTTAATCCTAGGAGTACTCTACCACTGAGTTATATTCCAAACCTTTTTTAAAATATGATACAGAGTTTCACTAAATTGTCCAGGCTGGCTTCAAATTTACAATCCTCCTACCTCAGTCTCCCCAGTAACTGGGATTACAGGCATGAGCCACCTTGTTCAGCTCAAAGGATACAAAATTTTAGTTAGAAATATAAGTTTAACAGATCTACTGTACAAGATGGTAATTATAACAATTTGTACTGCAACATACTGTATACTGTACTTGAAACTGCTGAGAAATTTTAAGTGTTCTCACCAGAAAAAAAAAAAAAAGGGATAATGCATAAGTTAATTAGGTCAGTTTAGCCATCCCACAGCATATACATATTTCAAATCATGTTGTATACCATAAGCTTGTATAACTTTTCTTTGTAAATAAATAAGTGCATACAAAATCACTAAGATCACTTTAATGGGACTAACAATAGTGGGGAGAAAATTCTGGGCCCCCAAACTGTATTCCTTGTTAAACTCTAAACTTAGACCAATACATTTTATGTAAAAATTATAAAGATGCTGGAAACTTTTATTTAAGAACTCAAGCCAGAGGGTGGCACACATCTTTAATCTCAGCTACTCTGGAGGCTGAGGCAGGAGGATTGCAGGTTCAGRCTAGTCTGGGGAATTCAGAGAGACTCTGTTTCAAAAATAAATACCTAGATAAATTAATTTTTAAAACGTGGGGAGAGGATMATGTAGCTCACTGGTAAAGCTTGCCTATGCACCAGCACCTGAGATAGATCCCCTGTAAGTCAAAGATAAATACAATGTAGTCATTTTGAATTAATACCATTACTTGTACAGTCCAGTGTTATCAATTTCTTTATGATAGTCACATATATTACTTTTAATCTGTTTTTGTAAATAACTGATGACAGACGAAGACAAGCAAGAGAGAATGTTTCAAACCTTGTCACTTGATTATTTTAATGTGCTGTTTTTAAGTATCCTTTAAAAGAACAAGTGAGCAAGTTTCCCAAAGGTACATACAACTTCTACCTAACAGCATTAGGATTTAACTCCTTTGGGACGATGTGTATTCTTCATAAACATTAATAACTGTATTACAGCTGTAAATGGGGGGGGGTCATCTGATAGTGCAAAGAGGAACCACTAAAATGAACAAGATTTCTTTTAAACGTCCCTCCCAAGGAGCGAGATATGTAAATGCAGGCAGTGGGCTTGCGGTAGAAGGGAAGAGACTCAAAAGTGGCTGCTGGTCAGCAGCAGGTCCTAGGAACCCCTAGAGAAGACCCCGCGACCTCTTCCCGCCCCTTGCGTCACCTCGGGAGCCCACGGTTTCCCCCCTCTTCACCTTGGCCCCCTGAGCTGTCTGCACGAGGAGCGACTCCGGGGGCGCGCCGGGAACTCGCCCAGACCCGGCCCCGGCCCCGAGGACCTCGGGCCCGGCAGGGCAGTTCGGCCACCTCCGCGCGGGCTCCTCCRGAGGGCGGGCCTTCCTCCTGCGGGCCCGGCGCCGACGGCTCCCTGGGCGCCCCGGATTCAGCTGACGGATCCTCGGCGTCATCGCTGTCGCTGGACTGAGCTTGGCGCTGCCGGAAAGTCCGTTTGGGCCTGTGAGCCATACTCCAGGCCGGATCTCCGCGCGCACGTTCACTTTCCGTTYACGCCAAATTGGGTTTTCGGCGTCCACGGCGGCGCGCACTCCCGCCTCTCCTGCTGCCCCGAGCGCGCGTCCGCGCCGCCAGTCAACTCGCGCTTCCCTCGACGCATGCGTAGTGTGCTGGCGTAGGTGTGCGCGACGAACTSGGCAGGCCCAGCCGCAGGGTTCCCCAGGCCAAACCTGAGTGTGCGATCTGTAGACCAGGGATTCCCTGCAGCCTCTCAGGCCTGAGTCCCACGAAGAGCAGCCTCACGTGCTCTCTCTGTGCAGGTCCCATCCAGGAACCAGGCAGTGTACTAGCCATCTTGGACTGCAATGGGGTCCTTGTCTTTTTCCAGAGAAAGCTCTCTGAACCAAGATTTAAAAACCGACAAGAGTGCATGTGTTGGATAGGGAGATGCCAGAGAAAGCTAAGCAGCGAACTCTTCACATTAAAAATAAGTACACAGCAATCATAATGCAATTGATTCAAATGTATGAATTGCCAAGATCATTGTAATGTCATGTGTAGCTAATAAAAAAAAATCAAGAGCTAATTTGACCAAAAATAAAATAAATAAAATAAAATAAGTACACAGAGAAGCAAACAGCAAACATGGTTGCTTTTAAGTGAAGGGACTTCAAAATAAAGGGTATATCGTTAAAAAAAAAAAAGGCATCATTCAGATGAACAAAGATAAACTGTTGAGGCAAATTCGTGATAACAGAGATGATACTTGAGATGTCTTACCAGAAACTGTGTTGTGTCATCCGCTCTTGTAAGAGAGGACTTCAAGCAGTACACAAAACTTAGTAAAAGTATAGCAAAGTTTATTAGAAGAGACAGAAGAAGGGGAAAGACGTTGTTGGGGCAGGCCCCAAATGGCTGTGGTTAAGCTCCTTCCCCAAGGCTTCTCGTGTGCTGTTATGGTTTTAGTGTGTAGCCGGGGCTGGGACCTGGCTATGTTGTAGTTAGCAAGGCCAGAAACACTCCAATTCAGTGTAYATACTCAAGATCAAACATWAACTTGTGGGCATGAGCCCCCTTATGTAATCTGTTGGCCTTGTGCCTTCTTTGTTTGGCCTGCATATAAAAAGGGYCTAGGAAAAGACTTGGGGGCCAATGGGGACAAATGGGGGCAAAATGAGGTTTAAAATGGAACTGACTGGGAGCTGGACCTGAAGCTGGAGACTGGAGGCTRTGGCCACCACTGAATAAAGCATGTCTATTGTCCTAAGTACATCTTGCATCTTCTTCCAACATGCCTGAACCTTGTTTCCTGGGTCAGMGCCCCTTAAMGATAGAGATTCTTRAAACCAAGAGTAGGCCTACCAAGAGGAGACAACTCACTTCTTTGTGAGCTTAATTTTATTGGGGTAGGAGAGGGGGTTTCTGGAGAATCTCGCCAAAGCGCTACCTCTTAACTTTTGAAGATGGTAGAATTGTACCCAATTTTTAGGAGTCCCTACTGTGCATCTTTCCATCTAAGGGCAACTCTTGGTAATTTCAGCCTCTCAGCTTCCATATTTTTGCTGTGACTGTTCTGATTAAGGACCCTGCCATTCATGCTACCTTTCCCCAACATTGTGTTTCTCCAGCTGCTGCCTCTGTTCAAAAACCTTCCACAGTCATCCAACATTTTGTTATTAGAATAAGAAAGTAAATTACTGTAATGTTTGCTTTACAATCATATTGCAAATCTGGTGGTTTCCATGTCTTACTTTGAACAAAATCAGAGCACCAAACCCAAGGGCTTGCTTCTAAGGCTTACTGAAGCCAATTCAAAGGAACAGGGTTTTTGCAAAAAGAAAAAGCTTTATTGTAGAGCTAACTATCAAGAAGGTCAGGAAAGAAACTCAGATCTGCCTCTGCATGGGATTGGGGTGGSGGGAGAAGCTTTTTGATGATTGGATTATGAGAAGAGGGAGTTTTAGGTTTCTTTTGCATAGGCTGGCCTCTTATCATGGGCTTGATAGGTCTTAGTTGATTTCATTAGTTGACCATRCTAAATTTGATGATGGATTACTGAGACTTTGCATGTAATTCAGAAGAAATTTCCACCACCTCTTAAGAGTGCCACCAGCTGGAGTCCAAGCCTCTTACACATGGTCGTTTGGGGGACATTCCATTTTCAAACTTYGGCAGGGATTATGGCCCAAACCCCTAGAAACCATCTCTATGTGAACATAGAGATGCTGATTAAGCTGTTCTGTGAAAGGACCTGAGATTCTTTATTTCTAACAAGCTTTTGGGGAAGCCAAAGGCTGTTTCTTGGGGGCCACACTTTAAATAACAAGATCTTACAGCCGTACTAAGAAAAATGATTCACTCTTAAGAAGCAGTGTTATGGTTTGGATGTGAGGTGTCCCCAAAAAGCTCATGTGTGAGACAATGCAAGAAGATTCAGAGGAGAAATGTTAGAGTCTTAACCTAACCAGTGATTTAATCCCTGATGGGATTAACTGGGTGGTAACTGGAGGCAGGTAGGGTGTGGATGGAGGAGGTGATTAATTGGGGGCGTGGCTATGGGGTATATATTTTGTATCTGGCAAGYGGAGATCTTCTCTCTCTGCTTCCTGATTGTGATATGAGCTAAGCAGCTCTGTCACACCCCTGCAGTGATGTTCTGCCTCAACTCAAGCCCTGAGGAATGGAGCTGGCCTTCTATGGACTAAGAGCTCTGAAATCGTGAGCCCTCMAATAAACTTTTCCTCCCTTAAAATTGTTCTGGTCAGATCTTTTAGTCACAGCAATGAAATAGCTGACTAAAACAAGTTTTTAAAAAGTTTAATATAAAATTGTAATAGCACGTAAATGCCATTATGTACTTCAAAATTTGGAAACKAAGTAGTCCTTAAAAAGGAAAACTAATAGGAACCTATTCACAGTGATTGAGGTTATCTAAGGATGGYAGTTATCCATCGTATCTCCAGAATGGTTCACCACCAGTCTCCAAAATCAATTCAGGTGTTTATCTCAGTTTGAAAGCTGGTCAGTAGGACAGAATGCACTCCCAGTCTTGCTTAAAAAGCAAAAAACCCCAAACAGTTTATGTAAGGATAGTCTACGTGTGATGTTGAAGTTCCAGAAAGCTGTGATTTCTCTTCAAAAGTAACCAAATCTATGAACGTGTCCAATGTGAAAACACTAGGCAGAATTCAATGATTTGGGGGAAAGTGAGCTAGAAACTTAACTTTCTGTTGTAAAATAAACTGATTCCCCAGACAAGGCTCTTCTCTTATTCATCTTGATTCATCTCCATTTCTTATCTAGAGCACAGAATGCACTGAATTAATGAGAACACAATGAMTTAAATGTTGAGGATGGGGTGAGTCTGAAACATCTGTGTTCAATCACAATAATGAAACTTGAAAACAAATCATTATAACTTGTTAGATGCAAATATGCTAAAAGACAGGTGAGTGGACTAGAATGTAGCTGAGTGATACAGCACTTGCCTAGTAYGCCCAAGGCCCTGGGTTTGATCCCCAACACAGAAAAAAATAGAGCATGCGTGAGTGAAAGAAGTGATATACTACTGAGATAGATAGAAAACTCTCTGCTATTTAAAAYATCAACCAAATATTTGTTCTAAGGAAAAGAAGAATTGAGTTTCTCTAGGTGCTTGTATGG